CTCCCCACTTCTGCTCTGAGGAGTGGAACGGGAGAGAGAAGGTGCTCCCGATTGTTCCTGTGCTGTTGGAGGTCTCCAGATGCTCTTGGGTGTTCCCCGGTTGCCTCTTCTTCCCCCTCCCGTCTTCCTCTTTTTTCCGTACCCCCACCGTCTTCCGCTGCATCATGATCTGCGTTCCTCCTCATTAGTTTCCCCTCCTTGTCGTTCTGCGTTTCCTCATCTAGCATTAGATGGTAAAACGGCGGAAGAGTTCTGGAGAACGTGTGCCAGCCAGAGGTTTTCATGTCTTTGCCTGCTACACTATCCCTTTTCCCGCCTGTCATTCTCATCCACTGGGAAGAACCCCGAAACCTCCAGGCATTCTTCCACCACTCTCCTCCTCATCATTTACGTCGACCTCGTCGTCGTTATTCTCTTTCTCCCCCGTTCGGCGTCTTCCTCCTTTCCCGTATCCCATCATCTCCTTCTCAAGTGAGCGGCGCAACAAAGACGGTTTCGACTGCTCCGACATTCGCGCGTAAGTTGCTTGCGTAAAGTCGCGCGTGAGCGCCCTCATCTCCAGTGTAGCGTGCCGCGCTGGCGGCCCGCGTACGCCGGAGCGTAAAGTCACTGACATCTCGCGCAAGACCAGTTCTTGATCGTCGCCCAAGTCTCCTCCTCACCGTCGCGCACCGCCCGAAACCTCAAGTAATTACCGGGGCCCGCCCCTCACAAGAGGGTCAAATCAGCCCGCACGCACCAGGCACCTCCAGCCTGCGCGCATCCAGAAAACTTGACCTCCTGCGACGACGGCAGCGACAAGAACGGCGACGACGACTGCCTGCGACGACGAAGACAAGAGCGACCACGACGACAACGACGAGAACGGCCAAGACGATGACGGCGACGGCGACAACGACGACGACGACGACAGCGGCGACGATTACCACGGTGACGTCACCACACATATTGTTCCTCCGGCCCTCGTCTTCTTCTTCTTCTTCTTCTTCTTCTCCGACTCGTTCCCCTCCTGGTCATCGTCCTCCTCCACTCCGTGTTCTCTTCCCCGCCCCCCTCAGTACACCACGGCGGCGATACCAGGGATTGCGACGACGGCGGCGGCGACGAGGGCAACGACGGCGACGAAGGCGACGACGACGGCGACGGCGGTGGCGGTGACGAGGAGCTCGAGAAGCACCGCACGGCGCTGCACTACTGCGCCGCATGGGGTTACACCGCCGTGGCCCAGCTGCTGCTGGAGGCGGGGGGCTCCCCTCCTACGGGGGGGGGCTCTCCACCCGACCGTCCAGGGCCCCCTCTGCACGTCATAGGGCTGTCTTGGGACCATACGTTTGGCCCTCTTGGGGCCAGTTCGACCGTTGTCGCCGTCCTGGGTCGGTGTCGCGGCAAGGGCCTGGACATGTTTACTTTTACCCTCTGGAGGCCGGGACTGACCCGAACATAATAGACAGCCAGTACAAGACGGCCCTGCACTTGGCAATCGAGGAGGAGTCCTCGAAGGAGATGGTTTCTCTGTTGTTGGCAGGTAAGTCCGACCCAGACAAAGGCAATATCGAAATAGGCCTGAACTCATCCTATCTGCTTGAGTCTGCGCGCAACGGTGACACAGAACTGGCTTCTACGCTGATCAAAGCCAATGCCAAGGTCGACCTGGTTGGGAAGAACGGCATGACCCCTCTTATCATGGCGGTAAGATGCAACAAAGCAGACGTGGCGAAGTTGTTGATTGACGCAGGGTGCGACACCACCGTCAAGGCAATGGGCAAGACTGCGCGTGAGTTTGCGCTGAAGAGCTCTGACTCAAAGATGAGAGCGCTGCTTGGTGTGGATGCCAGTACCGCGTCAGATGACACCAATAAGAATTTGTATTTAACGTGAGCAAGGCGACCGAATTGTCAACGTGCAGCGGCAGGCGGATTGCGCTTAGTGATTGTAGCGTTGTTGCTAGGCTTCTTTTCCGCGGGCAACCCTTAAGCGGTTAGATGCAGGAAGCGAACCGCATTCCGATCCGGAAGTGCGCCGAGAGTGATTGTTGCAGCTATTATGTTTTGTTCAGGCCGAGATTCGTGTATCTTTCCTTGCACTCTCTCGAACCTGGACTCCCAGAAGGGGTGCAAGTTTCACGAACCATACGTTCAGTGCCGGTCAGGCGCCCGGGAGTTCTTTACAGATCCTAGCTCAAGGCATGCGTGCCGAGACGCGTTGCGGAAGACTGCGTGCAGTGGACCTTGATGCAATTTGGGAAGATGATGTCACGAGGAAGCGGGGGTTGGAGGAAGACGATATTCGGTGCGAAAGCAGAAGAAGAGGGGATGCCCGTTCTACCGCTCCGTCTAGCGCCCAATATCGATAGGCGATAGATCCTTTTCTCCTCCACACCATCCATCCCATCACTTTGGCGGGGGAAGGGTGATGCAATCAGATTATCCTTCCACTGCGTAAGTAAGCCCAGCCCAAAGTATACACACGGCTCTACCATGGCAGCGAAGAGCAAGAAGAGGATGAAAAGGTGGAAGAGTGTAGGTGGGTGGAAATGAGGAGGACGAGGGACAAGAGAATGAGAAGGATTCGAAGGACGAGGTGTAGGACGATGAGCAACACGCGGGAAGGAGGAGGAGGAGAAGGAGGAGGAGGAGGGGTAGCAGGAGGGGGAGGAGGAGCAGAAGGAGGAGGAGGAGAGGCAGCAGGAGGAGAGAGGCAGTAGCGCAAGGAGGGGCGGGGGAGGACGGACAGGGGTGCGGAGGAAGAGAGTGGAAGCATGAGGTGAAGTACGGACGATGCGGGGGGGGGAGGAGGGAGGATGGCGGGGAGGAGAAGGATCAGGAGGAGGGCAGCAGCAGGGCCCGTGGCTGCACAGACGGTGGGACTCGTGCCTTTGCCGCTCGGGTCTGCCCGTGTGGAGCAGTCAGAGGGGTCCAGGAGCGGAGGAGGAGCAGCAGCAGCGGGGGGAAGAGCCTCGGCCAACCGAGAGCTGGAGGCGCCCTTTCCCGCTAAAAGCTCGGCGGCAGCACTTTTCAGAGGAGCTGGCCCCTGATGAATGGGCGGGGGTCGGGGCCTAACCTTGGCCCCGCTTTCGTGCCCTCCCCCCCCCTCCCCCCCCCTTGGGCCCTCACATCGCGCTCTGCCCTGTGCTTCTGTGCTTGACGTGTTTGCACCAGAGGGCCCTGCGTGTTTGGTCCTGGACCGAGGGTCGCTGGCCGTCCCTGGGAGAACCTGCGTTCACGTGGGCTGCGGTAGGGTTTCACGTGACCCACTGCTTTTCTCGGCGGCGAGCCCGGGGGGAAGTGCGAAGGAGAAGGCCTTCTCCGAAGGCTCGGAAGTCTCCCGGCCGTCTGGGAAGTTTGTGACGCCCCTCCAGGAGACACAGAGCACTTCTCTTCAGAAGCCGCGGGGGCTTATGAGAACTCCCGCCGCCTTTCAAGAAGGCCTTCTCCTTCTCATCCTCCGACTATGCACAAGAGTGACCCCCCCTCGCTCGCAGCCGATTTTGGGACACCGAGGGCACCGGAGGACCAGGGGGCAGGCTGCTGGCATGTCCGCGGGAGGTTTGGGGCTCTGTCGCCGCTCTCGGAGACCGGGGGTGCTGGATCTGGGCCAGAGTCGGTTTGGGTTGGGCGTGGCGCAATGGGGGGGGCGATCAGTAAAATGCGGGGGGCCTTGGGGGCCTTGCAAGGGGGCTCTTATAGCCCCTAAAGCCGTTTCAAGCCAGTCGAAGCCCTTGAAGGAGCCCTTTGAAGCACCTCAAGGGCCCTTAGAGCCCCTAAAGGGGCCCTTTGAAGCATTTTGAAGCCCCTAGGGGGGCCCTGTAAAGCCCTTAAAAGAGCCCTCGAGTCCTGGAGGGCTGCCGAAAGGGAGCCTTTTAAAGCCCCCACATGGGCCCTTTAGGGAGATGATCTAGGCCTCAAAGATGGGGTCCGAGTAGATGGGGTCGGAGGATCGCGCCGCATCGCCGATGCATCGGCGATGCGGCTCCATGTGGAGCCCGATTTGCCTCACGTCGACGTCGCCGATGCATCGCCGACGTCGACGATGCATCGCCCGTGCATCGCCCGTGCATCGCCAATACATTACATCGGCGATGCGGCGCGATCCTCCGACCTCATCCATTCCGACCCCATCTAGGCGGCCTCCTAGATGAATAGGGGGCAGCGAGGGCTGCGGCAAAGGGGCCCCTTCAAACCTTCCCAGGGGGCATGTCAGGGCCCCAAGAGGGTCCCCCCCCCCGCTTTGACCGAAGACCAAAACTTTCGGGCAAGGGGTCTCGCCACGAAGGGAAGCGGGGTCGACCCGCGTGAAGCGGGCCCCGGCCCCCCCAACGCTCCCACAGGCCAGCTCTTCATCCCAAGCCATTTTCTGCTAAGCCCGCGGCTGCGTCAGCTTAGGCCGGCCGCCCTGGCCACTCCAGTCGAAGATGTTTGTGCTGTGAGTTCCTTCCCTCCTCTTGCAGCCCTCCGCGGCCGCGCCCCGCCTCGGTCCCCCCTCTTGCCACCGGACAACTAGTGCCTGCTAGCCCGGCTCACCTGCGTGCGCGTGCGGATCGTCTCTGCCGCGCTGCGGCGAAAAAGATAATCCAGGGGCCCGTGCGCACAAACGCAAGAAAGCCCATCGTGACCCTTTCCTCCAGGACCTGTTCCTTTCAGTCGAGGGAGGACACAATCCGACCCCCCCCCGTCGCTGGCGTCTGCTACACATCACTAGGCTTTCATCAAGCACTCCTGTTATGCTTGGTTCCTTCGCCTTAGGAGTGCATCTACCACAGGGCCTCGCTTGCAACGAGAGTCACGAGGTTGCTCTTCTGCCCCCGTCTCAGCAGAAGAGAAACGTATGCATTGGGTGATGCTTCTCGGGAACCTCAGCCGTTCTGAGAAGCCGCCCGTGGTTTCGGAGAAGGCCTGGGGAGCTATTCGCAAGTATGGAGGCCTTCCGAGCCCCCCGATAAGGCCCGCCCCCTCTGCTTGCCCTCCCCCCTCTCCTCGGGGGGCGCGCCGCCAAGCCCCATCGCGCCGGCCCACTCCTGGGTAGAGCGGCCGGGAGCCCCCTCCCCGGCGCAGGCGGTGGCGGCGGCGGCGACCGCCGTCGCACCGCCGCGGGGCCGCTCTCGGCGGGCGCTGCGCCCGCTGTGTCGGGCGAGGGGAGGCCGCCGCGGGGCCCGCCGCGCTGGCTGCTGCCGGCAGCCCGCGGGGGCTTGGGCCGGAGGGGGCTGCCGGCGCGGGCTTGCGGCTGTCAGCTTGCGGCAGCAGTCCCGCGGTGAGCCCGCCGCGGGGGTGCTGCTGGCAGCCCGCGGGCCCCTGGGGGCAGAGTTCCGCCCGCCGAGGCCAGAGAGCGTGTCGATGGCACCCCGCCTTTTCGGGAACCCGTCGGCGTGCTGTTCTGTGTGCTTCTGCCCGAGTGCCTGGCGTCTCCGAGGCAGCAAACGCACACGCCGACGGGGTCCCCGCGGCGGCGTGTCGTCGGTTCTGCCGCTGCTCGCCCAGCGGCGCGTGAGCCGGGTGGCCCGCGGTGGCGGCGGAGTGAGAGCCCTGCCTCGCGCACCGTTTCTGTCGCTCCTTCCTTCCTTCCTTTCCCCTCCCCACCTCCCACCGGGAAGGAGGGGGGTCCTGCAGTCCTGGAGACAAGGTGTCCTGGAGAACTGCCCTGCCGCTCTGGGGCCCCCCGGGCCATCGGGCCCCGGAGCCTCCAGAAAGCGACCCAGGCAACGACCCAGAAAACGACCCAGAACGACAGAAAGCGACCCAACACGAGCCAGAACGACCCAGGGGACCAGGACCCGTTTCGCATACGCGTATCAGGCATCGAGGGTTGAGGGATATAGAGGGTGGGGGGATTTGTGGGCCCATTTCGGAGCTCCATGGCTGTGGCCCCTGGAGGCCTCTGGGAACCTCAAGTGATTTTCGAGCCGAGAAGCGAGGGCTCACTCTGACAGAGCGGGGGGGGGGGAGGAGCGGCAGTTGCAGGATCTGGGCGACGCTGAGCACTTGCACGCACCGAGACTGTTTCTTGTTTCTCTGGGCCAGACCAGTCCTACAGTCGGGGCCCTGAAGAAGGAACCCTTTTCGTTGGGGAGGGGCTCCGCGTTCCTTGAGTGTTTCGCAGCTTGCCTTAATTAGGTTTTCCTCAGGTTTTCGATACGAAATCAAAGTTCAGCTTATGGAAAATAGGGGCCTCGTTCCTCATTTAGGGTTCCTTAGGTCAACGCCTCGACTGTAGGCCCAGGATCTGCGTGTTCGCCGTCCTGGCCAGGGCAGGGAGGCGTCTGCGCCGATCCTGTGCCCAGAATCGTCCCAGCCGGGGCCGGTGGCGGTGCACAGTTGTCGTGTCCCAGCGTGTGGCAGGGGGTTGCTGGTGGTCTGGGGCTTAGTGGGCCCTGGAAACGACAGGGCCGTTTTTCTACCGGTTCCGTTTTGCCGTTTTTGTTGCCGGTTCCGACGCCGTTTTTGTACCGGTTCCGTCGCCGTTTTTTGACCGGTTCCGGCTCCGGTTCCAATCCTGGAGCCGTTTGTTTGCCGTTTCCGGTCGCCTTTTTTTGCCGTTTCCATTTTCAAGGGGCATGTTTTGGAAACGGTGAAAAACGGCCCTGCCGTTTCCGGGGCCCACAAAGGTCTGGGGGCCACCACCAGCACCGATGAAGAGGAAACGGCACAAACATTATCTTCCGGAGGGTCGCGTGGATTTCTTGGATCGGCGGTGGAACCCGCCCCCCTGCGCGGACCTCAGCACATCTATGGTATGCAGCTTTGTGCTCCTCTACAGCGGGCCACCTCCAGCGACGAGGTCCACGATACTTACCCGAGCTGGAGAATAGAGATGTCTAGAGTGGAGATCCGCAACACGGTGGGACCACACCACCAGGAGGACCCTCCCTGTCTCCTTGCGATGGT